ATAATATGACGGTAATCGAACTTGATAATTCCAATTGAAATATTATGGGTTCGGATTTTGATTTGTGGGGGGATAATTTGAATGAAGTTGTCGCCGACTTGGCTGCCCCTTAAAATGAGGTGCACTGAACAAAACGTATGGATAGATACCCTTATTTCTGCTGGATGGGTTGTAATATATTTTCCATTGACGTTGGTCAGGGATAGACGCACCCAAACGCAAGCAATAACTGCCAATTCAATGTCAATCCCCACGGCAAGATGCCACACGAATCTTGCTCTCTAGTGCAATCCATCATAGCTGGAGGCAGGAAAGCAATAACCTATCGCATGGGTAACATCGGTAATAGTTCAAACGGCCATGCCACCCGAGCATTGGACAAACAACCAGCATTGGCATTGGCATTGGCCATAAATCTCTCAATTGCAAAATATATGTAATATAAAGTTGATCTGAACAGCAAAAACAAAGAAGAACGAGCCGGTGCTTTCCATAAATCAAATCACAATACAATACTCGGGTACTCGTACAGTAGTAATCTTTTCCCATTGAGACAGGGCCGACCTCTGATCCCTTTGAGTGCAGAATTGCATTTTATGTGGCAGGAAATTCAATTTACAATTTACAATTTACCATTTCCTCGTATTTTTTGTCTTGTTTTATTTTCAATCTCAAATATCACAGGGGCTCTGAGGGCTCTGAGGGCGAAGAGAAACGAAATACGAGTGTATTTGAATCTATACATACTCGTCCTGCACAGATACAATTCCTAATGAACTTTGACACATGGCAGGGATACTGTCCGTGGGTGGCCTGCCCGCTGAGCCCGTTGAGCCCGCTCGCGTGTCCGTGTCACAAGTCAAGGGGGAAAGCAGCGACAACAGCAAAAACAGAATGCCCCAAGCTGCAAGCTTGACGCATGCAACTTTTTGGCGAACGGCACTCAGGGGGGCCACTGAGCCAAAGGACGGGGCAGCTACAATGTACCGAAACTGACTGATAGATGAACTGACTGACGGACAGACTGACTGACTCACCGACTGAATGAAGCTCTCCTAAGGAGGTCCTCTAGGAAATATTTTTGGCGATTTTTATGGGAAAAATGTGCTATTTTTGAGGGTGAATAATACAATACCTCTTATGGAATCGAATTATTCTGCTGTTTTACTGAAATTTACAAAAGGATAATTATTTATCGATCACCTAGGCCACTCCCGCTCCCCAGTCCCCACACAAAAGTCGCCAAGCGCACATGTCATGCCCCTGCATGACCGCGGCAAGGAAAACCGCAGGGGCGTGCCCAGGCTTATCGCAAAATCAGGACTTTAACTGCAGCAGAAATGGAAATGGAAATAGAAATAGAAACAGTTAGTTGGTTCGTTAGTTGATTATTACGTGTCCTGTCCTTTCCACTGGCACTGGCACTGTCACTGCACTTTTTTGCGGTACAGTCCTGCTGCCGCAGCTTATCGCCGCTTAATGGGTGACTGCATTTCGGGGTTTACTTTTTGGGCTGACGCTGCGTATGCGCAATTCTCGCTGATTACGTATACCTCGCCGCATCATCGGACCGACCACCGACGAGCAACAATAGCGGGCGAGGCGATGCCTTGCCCCAAGTGCTCTTCCCGTTCCGAGACGGCTTACATTATGCAAACTTGGCAATAAAAATTCAATTAAGTTACAAGGACGCGCTGTCAAGTGCCCTCCCCCCGCTTGGGGGCAGAGGCCATGGATGATAGCTGAATTTGCCGATAAATTGAGAACGTTTCGTAAGCGGCAGCAACAACAGGCGTGGCAGGGGCAGGTCCAGGGGCAACAACAAATTGTGACATGCTGTGCGGCCGCTCACGACTGTGATGCACGTTTTAATTATAATTTTGACGCCAACTGTTTAAACACAGCTACGCTGCCGCCACACACATTCGAGACACATGCGCCATGTGCGAGCAGGGCCATGGAGCGATAACAAAGCCGGGGCCTATGTGAGAGTGCGTCTCGCTTGCACTAATTGCTTGGACCCAAGCAAGTGGCGGCACACCCGAAGCACACCCCCCGCGGGGCACACAAAGAGCACACATGGTCAAAACAAGTCACGAAACCATCAGCCGCCAGGCCCAAAGGCAGAAGAATGCATCGGGAGAAATTCTCGTAAAATTGAATTGAAACCAAAGCCATACGAGCACGATGGATGAAAGGACCGCTTTCTCATGCCGCTGTCAAAGTTTGCATCCACTTCGACTGGCACCTCAGATTCGTTCCGGTTTCTGGCTGTCAAAGCTATCCTGCAACTCCCTCACATGGCCACTACTGAAAAGTCAAGGATGTTGCTCGGAACCAGCTCTTTTTTATGGCATTTCACTTGCAGGTGCTTGTAGCTGCCGTAAACTACAAGCCAGATCAAAAGGAGGAAACCCAGAAAAGGAAAACACACATCAAATGTTACCCTCCATCTCTCTCTGGGCTCTGGGCTATCTTCAGCCTGTATTTGCAGCTGCCCTTTTAACACTCCTCTCACACCACGTAAGCTACATAGTAGATTCCAAATAGGACACAACCAAAGGAGAGCCAGGAGTCTTTAATAGCCAATAGTCTGAAGTGCGATTTTGCCTTCCACTTTGTTATGGGAGCCGTAGCCGTCTCCGGACACGTCTCCCGGCTATCAGTCGAAGAACAAAATTATGTTTGAACCAAACAGAACAGAACCCGACACAGACTTCAGCGAAGAGGGGATACAATAACTTATCGAAGTCAGTCACCAGAATAGCCCAGATTATGAGGGATTTATCGAAGGCAGTGCTTTAGAGTCCTCGGCGATTAATACCTCGACGTAAGTACAGGATGTATCTGTCTTAGTAGCGATAGGACTTGCTACTTGCTTACCTCCACTCAGGCAGACAACAGAGTAGATCAATGGGGTCTCCAGCCGCATAGGTCTCACCCCAAAAATGTGGAGAAATCGGATGGAGCCTCTAATCTGTCCCCTCACTTTTCACAGTGCATTCAAAAGACGGCAGGCATGTGACCGTGTGCCGTAGCCGTAGCCGTATGCCACATGCCACATGCCGCATGACGCTAGCCGCTTGCCACACGCCGTCTCTGTGGCTGTGTCCACTTTTGAGTGTGAGTGCGGTGCGGGGTGGAAGAGGCCTAGCCATGTGTTTCTGTGGGGGTGTAGGAGTGCCGGTTAGATTTATAGCCCCCAAAGCTGTAGATCCGTGGGGTGGCTCTGGGTATGGCTGTGGACTGTGCCTGTCTCTGGGGCTGTGTCCGTGTGCAGTCTGTACTCAATTAATACTCATCAGCGTGACATTAGTGCCATTCGCAGATGAGAATCGGAAGAGGAAAGCAGGAAAAAGCACAGATACACAGACAAGACAGTTGAACACGTGCGGCGCTCCAGCGGCCAATTATTCGGCATCCTGAGAGGACATAATACCTCCGCCCACCTAATGCGTCCTCTCACTCAATCAAAGTTCGTCTCGTTCGAGACGTCTTCTTCAGTCCATCAACGAATCGGTGCCATAAATCTCTTTCAAGTGTGCTACTCATCATCAACAACAGACATTTTTATGCGAAGCATGAACTTTAAACCAAATAAATAGAAAATGGTGGCTCTTCTGCCGTTCTGCTCTCTCCGCTTTTTATGGCACAGCAAAATTTAATGCGACATTTGGCTTTAATTAGTCCATAAAACGGGGACGGGACGGGACGGCAGCAAGAAAACTTTAAACAGTGGGCAAAACTTGAGCTCAGGAGAAGGCCAACAAACAGGGAAAAGCACATAAAAGGGAAAACCGCAGGAAAGCCACAACATGGGGGGCCAGGGCAGGGGCAGGGCCAGTGTCCTTAGTTGACCAAATGGGAAATGCCTGGAAATCATTGAGCGTAAATTAAATGTAATTGAAAGCGATTGACAAATGGAATCGAGATCTGCCAGACCAAAGGCGAATGGGAATCTGGGGGGATTTGCGGCGATTTGTGGGGTGGGTCCGAGCTCAATTAAACTCTGAATGCCCTCGATTCGGATAGAGAATAATCTTAATAATTGTTTATGTGTGGCATTGTAAGAGTCTCCAATTGTGTGAAGTTTTCGTAAGAAATGCAAGACAATAGAAGCGTCTTTGCATTGTTAATTGCATGTTACGTATACGTAACGTATGCGACTAGTAGGCATTAATCAATTGTTAATAGAGGTGCCTACAGACTCTACAAAGTCTAGATGGAAGCCCATCCACGGCCCACAAAGTACCCATAAAAACTTGTAGTTGATCAAAGGAACTGTCTGTTAGATCCCCTCCAATCGAAACTTCAATCTCTCAAAGTTTCCATTCAACCCAATCGATGGACTTTTGCTTTATTTGTTTTGTTTATCTTTAACTCATAAGAGCGATAAATTTATGATGAAATAAATACGACAGTATGCAATTGAACTTTCAAGAACTTTCCTTCACATAGTAACTTTATTTTAGTAGGAGAGAGTACTCGAAGCACGGCTCTGCCTCTTGGTGCTCTCTCAGTTTCACTCGACCAAGAGAGTTCTCCGAGAGGCAACCTTTCGAGTCAGGAATGAGCAGTCAGGAGAGTGCGGGAGTGATATTTCCGAACACCTTTGGACTTTTGCTAGCAACTGAAAAGTGCTGCCAAAGATAATATTTATTTTAGCTGCGAACTAACGCCCAAACGGTGACCTTACGTTCCACGGCTTTACTAAAAGTCACCGGGAGTTAGATAAGTTAAATTATGCTCTACTGTTATTGATAACGAAGCGGCCTTAAACGGCCTTTGGGGGACACTAGATAAGAGGAAACTTATCACGGGAAATATGTAGATATTCTAAAATTCAATTTCCAGCAACACATTTTTCGGGTACCCAGCGAAACGATTGGTCCACAAACAAATAAAAAACAGACATTAAATACCCCAAAAGTTGATGAACTGCAGAATATTGTTTTGCGGAATGTACAGATCTAAACACACAAAGGATTCGAAATGCTTACGTTGGAATATTGTACACTCATCCGCATTGTCGGCCGGGCCATTAAATCGCTTGAGGGCGGACGCAGACTAAACTCCGAAATGTTTGGGATCTCTTCATTGACGATATGTTTGGTTCTGGGTTCTAGTGTTTGTTGAATATATTCAATACTCAACAAAAATCAAATAAATTTAATCACTTTTTCAAGATATTAGCTGAAGCTTTATTTACAAAATATTTGAATTTGTTTCCACTTTTTGTTTGAATCCACGCACAGTATTTTCCGAGCACACGCGCCTCGAAGCAACAACAAATGACGGAAGCCGCCAACGAAAAGCGGGAAAAGCGCCGTGTTTTCCACCTTCGACTCGTTTTCTGGCCAACGGCCACAAATAGTGCTTCGAATCTCAATCCTGAATTTCCGCCGCTTCGAAAAAGAACGTTAATTCAAACGTATTCGAAGGGAGAGAGAGACACTCTCACGAACGCGCTCCGGTATGAGCTGCAACCACGCGGCGTATGAGCAACGACTGAAATTGTATTTGAGCGAAAAGAGCTTCTCTGCCGAAAAATACACCCGGTCGAGCAGGTTCGTTCGCAACATCGAACCTCGAACCACGAACCTCAACCTCGAGCTGGCTAGAAGTACTGTGTATGGCAGTAGTTCTATATGGTTAGATGGTGTACCATTAAGAGAATGGGAAGAGTAAAACAATGTATTTGAGGTGTGGATAGATCTCGAGGAGAAGAATCCAGGCTGGCTGGCTCATGATGACGCGGCGGTGGCTGAACGCCAGAGCCGAAGACCTGTGTTAGACCTATCGTTAGCCGTTGGGTGGAATTATCTCTTCTTTTTTGGATCATTTATTCAGGATTAGAGTGGGAGTACCCTAAATGATGATGACGCTACTGAGTTGAGTGTATACACTCACCCACACACTATTTATGGGAAAGCCAACTACAACAAACTTCGCTCACTCATCCTGATAATGACACCTAATGGATGTACATCAAATGCGTTGACAGGCTTCCTTCAAGGACCTCTGTATTGTTTGCGGCGTGGCCCGTGACCTATGTTAATGTCTATGAACCAGCGATCTTTCCTTTTATATTACATTCATAATATATCAATCATAAACAGTCTGCAACTTAAATACAGAAGTACCACTGTACCTCTTTAAGAGAACCGCAACACACTCTGGATAGAATCAGCGGAATGTTGATTCACAGAAGATGCAAGGATTGACAGTTCCCCTACCACCCACTGATCCCGTCCCTTTTGTTAGTTGGCATCTCAAATGCCGTCCCCCAAAAATTTGATGGTTTCCGGTTTGATTGAAACCAAGAATACGCCAATATTTGTAGTGTCGCACGACTTTGGAAACTGTTGGCAGAGCTGATGTAATGTATCTCCTGTTACCAATTCCAAGTAAACTTGGGCCCTCTCTGGCCCTGCTTTACGAAACCCAAAAGAAAGGACACCACTGGAGGGGATGAGAGGATGGGGGTGTCAGCTCGTGGCGGCGTTTTGACGTGTTAATGCTTCTTTTGGCCAACGATTTGCGTTGGCCGAGCTCTCGTATAGCAGCATACGGCTCACCCATCGCCCCGCTCTCCGCCTCACACTTTATTTTGTTGCTTTTAAATGATTTTCCATTTACAAATTTCACGCGTCTAAATGTTTGTCTTCTGCTTGTTGGACTGTTGTTGCTTATCTATTTCCTTTTGATTTTTATTTTTGATTTTCCTTTTGCCTTTTTTCCCTGAATGCCGCTGGCGAAATTCCCGTTCATTCATAAAAAAAGAAGGTGCACGGACGGGTGCGGGAGGTGGGGGGTTTGTGCGACTCGCGGACGTGGAAAACAGAAAACAGCAAACAATAAAAGGCCAGAGCAGCAACGCCGGCAGAGAGCCAGAGAAACGGCAGAGCAACGCCAGAGACTGGCCAGACAAACAGGCGGGAAAAGTGAATGGGGTGGGAAGGGAGAGGGTGGGGGAAAACCATTCTGGAGATGGTATAGCCATGAGGGCGAAGGAGGGCGAAGGAGGGCGAAGTGGACGAAGTTTTGTTTTTGGTAACGTCGCTGTTGGCTCTTTTACTTTTGGCTTTATTTATATTAATACATATGTATTTGTATCTGTGTGCTCCTATGGCTGTGTGTGTGTGTGTGTCTTATTTTTATTTATTTTCTTTTTATTCAACGCGTCTGAAAACAAAACACAAAACGCAAAAAAATGTTGTCAGATTTTTGTTACTTTTTACGAGGAACAAAAGAACAGGGAAAAAAAAAAACAAAAATCAAAACAAAAATGTTCAAAAAGAAGAACCTAAAAAAAGCGAAAGCTGTAGCCTAACGACTGATAAAATTGAATCGACACTGAGAGAAAATATGGGAAGCAATGGGAGTAGACATCGATGGATGATATTTGATTGAAAACTTCAACTCTTTTGTGTAAACGAGATTCACCAAGGAAACCACTCGGATCCGAGCAAACAGCGATAAATATTAAGGGTAATCAAGGTGACTGTTTTCCTAGAGATCCGCGGAATTAAATTATTCGATTAAAACACCCCACAACATTCCGCAACCCAGTTTTCTCTGAGTGTATAAGGAGCCGCCTCCGCCTCGACCTTAGCCCTTGTTCCCTTGTTCTGCATTTTCTGTGGTTTTTCCTTCGGGTCCACCAGCAGGAGAAACGGAAAGAACAAAACAAAAATATGCCAGCTGAAAATGTCAACCGAAGGGAAGCAAGGACAAACTGTTAGTCGATAAGGTCGTCCGAATCAGAGCACACACAGAATCGGGTTAGAGCTGTCAGACATTCTGTCAGGTCGGAGGAGGAGTTGGAGGTGGAGGTGGGCACGGGATGGGGATGGGAGTGGGCCAGTAGTGATACCCCAAGCAGCGATTACCCTAATTCTCTGGCAGGATTCGGAGTGGGTTTCGGCGGGGGGTTCGCTGGGTTTAAAGCTGAGAGAATCCTGCCACCGTTCCACGAAATTGGAAATTGGTTTTCCATGATTTATCTCTGCCATTGGCGGTTCAACAGAACGAAGCGGATACGATTCTGATGAGGATGATGCATACATACATATGTGCGAGTAAACGGATTGAATAACAGGATTGTTGGTAGGGATTAACGCCATGGAGAGGTTGCTCAAACGAAACCAAAGGAAACCACCTTCGTCACTCCTTTTGCGAGGGCTTTCCCATCCCAGGCACTTGTAACCTTTCCAAGGTCCACCTTCCACCACTTACATAACCGTTCAAGGGCTGCACTGCTGACGCCTGATCTTTCGGCACATAGTTCGAGCCAAAACGTGGGTTTATTTTTAAACGGAACGAAGAACCCGAAATTACAATTATTTATGTGAGAGGCGAATAATTCATGGCTCATTTGCCGCTGCACCTGAAGGCTTATTAAAATAGAGCGAACGAACCCGAGAACCCAAGCAGAATAAATAGAAGCAGGCCACAGTCGAGTGTTCCGACTATAGGATACCCTGCCCGCCGCGAAGATTCATTCATAAATAGCCTGTCCGATTGTGTTGTTAATATTTGATTTAATAATTATTAATTTATCCGTAAAGTTGTACCCAACAGGGGAGGAGAAACGAGGAGGCGATCGATACACGTAGTGCCTAGGGGATGGGAAACCCCTTTATTTCGGACTTATGATTAATATTTGTACTACTCTAAGACTCGTATTCTCGTGTACCGAACACCGAATACCCAGAGCCAAAAGTCATACCAAGGGGACACGGGAGACGGGAGACAAGGGTGTGCGAGTGCGAGTGCGCTCCCCGCATGCGGCTTCTGACATTGTTGCTGTCGTTCCTGTTGTCTCTGTGGCCGTTGACAGGCAAACAGCAAAACCAGATAAAAGACAGCAGCAATGGCAACGGCAACGGCAACGGCAACGGAAAACTGAAATAATGATACCGCAAATCGGGGAGGAGCAACAAACCGAGCGAACAGTTGGCATTTTCGATTTGCGTCAACGTCGTTGGTCGTTGGTCGCTGGTCGCTGCACGTTGGTCGTTGGCAGTGTCCGGAGATGGACGGACCTGAAGACCGAGCAGCCCAGCGCTGGGCGGAGGGAGGAGGGAGGCGGCAGGAGGGCGGAGGGCGGACAGCCGGACTGCCGGTCATGTAAAATTGATGTACAAACGATTCTGTCTCTCGGTCCCGTCTGGTCCGCATGTGAAATAATTATTAATAAAAATAATGTGCCATGAAATGTTTTCGTTGTCGTCCTCGCAGATGCACTTCCGCCTGCTGCGCTGTGGCTGGGTTCCTTGTATGTTTGGGAAGGGGGTGGGGGCTAAGGAGGGCAGATATACGGGCATCTCTACGGGTAATTAACAAACAGCGGGACGGGCTATAGTCAAGTTTTGCCAGCTCTCAGCTGGTGCCAGGGGAGTCGTACTCTTGCATCGCAAAACATTTTAGTTTTAATGACAACAGCAGAAGGGAATTCCTGTAGGAGGGATGTGCATGTACATAAGAGTTTAAGATAATTCGAAACCTTGAAGTATTCTCGTTCACTCGAGATTTAATGCGTTTTTGTACACACTCCAGGCACTTGAATGCACAATTTTGAATTCAAGCAAATCGGTTTTTGTTATTCTATGAGTACTTCCTACAAATCATCGAATATCCAATACGAGTAATAATGGGAGTATTCCTTTTATACTCGAAAGAGTCAACAACGTCTTTGGGTCATCTGCTGCTTCTGTAAAACCACTGAAGCCTCGAGAAATCTTTGAGATTGTTGGAACACTTGGTTCGTTGTCCTATCCTCCTGCTTCCTGTATAAAGGAGTATGACCTGCCTCAAATCGATCCACATCGAAATACATTATCAGAAACCCCTCCACCACCTACCCCTTCGAGCAATTACTGCCAAATGCTTGAGAGAACATCCGACAGTAAGTAGCTAATTATCCCAACTCGGTCCGGACGGACACCTTCCTTCAACGCCATGCCACGCCCACAGATGCCCGGCTGCCCCTTGCGTCCGCCGCTTTTCAATTAGCTTTGAATGTGATTTTGAATTAAATTAAATCGGTTATTTTTATACGGCCAGTATAATTACATTTTATTCGGCATTAATTGCTGCCGCCTTCCTCTGTGCGGCCGAGCAGGTCGTTCTCCCCCAGCCCCTCTGCCCCACAGGCCTCTAAAAGCCTGTTGTATGTATCTTTCATTTATATTTGAAAACTTGGCACAAACCGTGCCCACAATGGGCAGTGCATGACGCAAGTGACACGACCACGACCACGACATCGAAAGCCCAAGACATACCCTCGTGCGGGGTCCCACCTCCGATTTTTTTGGCCAACTGAACGAACATGGGTTTCGGTTTGGGTTCGGTTTAGGGTTTGGATTGCAGTATTTTGAAGGCATTTTAATTACTTGCAAATTAATGGCGCATATTGCATGCCCGCGAAATCGTTGAAGATGAAACGAATACAA